TACCTGTTAGTTGGTTTCCAGCTATTGGATAGTAAATAAAGCTGGAACTTGAGCCCTAATCTTGCAACCCAAATCAAGTATTATATGGTACCTTTCTGATTAAAGTATATAGCTGGGAGATCTCTTATTTCTCTCTCTTTCATATACATATACACACTCCCTCTGCAGCAACTCCGATCCCCTATATCACTAGTGTTGGTTTTGCATTTTTATACTGGCATGTTTGACAATTACTGTCAAACTTGGGGTATTCCATTCTTTTTTGGTCTGAATTATTTTTGGCTTTGAAAGAAATACTTTCTGAAAACATAAATATGTGGGTTTACAATTTATAAAATATCTTTTTTAATTTATTTTCTTAGAATATTGATATATTTTGCAAAGATGCAGAAAACAAGCTTATCCATATGCTTAATGCAAGTGATCCCAAGTGGTGCACCCCAACTAAAGACTCTACTTCAGAGCTGCACACTGCTCAAACAGTCCTTGGTACAGGAAATAAGTTTCTGGTAAGTTAACATAAACTTAAGGAATATTATAAATATTACATATGGAGCCAACAGTATGTTCTGGTGTATACCTAGTAAATATGGTAAAATGTAATTACACTTAATTAAAAACTGTCATATTTAATGCAGTTCCTATGGGTATAGGTTATTGGAAATTTTTTCTTATTTACTGAAGTAAGAATGTAAAGGTCTTTGGGGGCAAATTTTAAAAACAGGTGCTTTCATTTTTAGCCTTCCAAGTAGATGTGATCGAAAAGGCTTTTTTGCCTTTTTGTTTTTGCCAGAACTGTTCCATATGATTACAGCTGTTTCTAAGCTATATTGGTTTTAACTTATTAAATCATAGTAGATGCAATTTAAGCTAAAATCTTTAATGTTGGCTAATGGTTGATTCTTAAATAGCCACTAAATGATGAGTGTATCTATATTAACTCATTTAATCCTCATAACAATCCTAAGAGATAGAAGCTGCGTAAGTCTTCACTTAATGTTATCATTAGGTTCTTGGAAACTGATTTTAAGTGAGATGACATAAAATGGAACCAGTTTTTTAAAAAAATGTTTCAACAAGACAGTTTTGAAGGAAATGACATTATTCAAGGACCTGCCATACATCGTTTCATTAAAGTCTCAGTTTCTAAGAATTTATTGACAACATGAAGTGAGTGCTTACTATAATTGTCCCATCTTACAGAGAGGAGACTGTGGCACAGAGAGAGATTAAACAATTGTCTAAGGTCACAAAGCTAGAAACATAGGTACTATACACCAGAGTGTATGTTCTTAAAATGGCTTTAAAATGCTTATTTCTGTTTAACCTATTAATAATTAAAAAGAAAAGATTAAAGCATAAGTGACATCACTACCTTCTTTTTTTAAATCTTTTACTATGATTGCGTTTCATCTTTTTATATTGTTTTTACATCCTTTTATGCAAAATAATTTCCTTCTGGAATAGGAATAACATGAATATCTCTCTCAAATTATCTAACTTATTAGCGGTTAGGAGGAGTAAGAGTATGTGTAGCATTTATATACTTAACTATTTTAATGAAAAATTAATTTGATTTTGTTTTATATACCTGATCATGATAGGGTACTTCTTACTTTTTTTTTTTTTAGATTTCTTCTCCTAATAGTGAGATAAATTATCAAAGCCCTTCATCACTTTGTACACCAAAAGTGAAGCTTGTTTCCACACCTATATCAGCCCAAATGACTTCTAAGTCTTGTTGTAAAGGGGAGAAAGCGATTGATGACCCAAAAAGCTGCAAAAAGAGAAGAGCCTTGGATTTCTTGAGTAGACTGCCTTTACCTCCACCTGTTAGTCCCATTTGTACATTTGTTTCTCCAGCTGCACAGAAGGCATTTCAGCCACCACGGAGTATTGTTACCAAATATGAAACACCTATAAAGAAAAAAGAGTTGAATTCTCCTCAAATGCCTTCACCTAAAAAATTCATTGAAATTTCTCCTTTGGAAAGTAATTTAATAGCTGATGAAGAACTTGCATTGATAAATACCCAAGCCCTTTTGTCTAGTTCAGCAGGAGAAGATCAGTGTGTATCTATCAGTGAACCCCCTGGAACTACTACCACCAATTCAAAAGATTATCTGAGACTGAAAAGGCACTGTACTACCTCTCTGAACAAAGAACCAAAGAATCCCCAAGTCAGTACAGAAGACTGTGCGACTAATATGCAAGACACAAGTATAATAAAAGATATATCAAAAAGATTGCAAAAGCAACAAAAACAAAAATGACAATAAATTAATTAACTTTTAACCTTTCCAGTTTATACAGAAACACACAGTTTCAAACTACAAATCAGTATTTATGTTGCATAACAAAAAAAGCAAAGAAATAATTTCAGGTTTACCTAAGTGTTTGTATATCACAAGTATTGTCTTTGACTCTATATCGGCATAGTTTTATTTCAGTGGTATCCCTTAAAACTGTAAATTTATTAACTAATGAAGAAAAAAATTCCTTTAAATCTTCATGATTTGATTTTATCACAAGTATTATTTTACAAATAAAAATGCTCTTTTAGACTGTGTCATTCATTAAGTGAAATGAGGTTTCTTAGTACAGTTATTCTTTTTTTTGAGACAGAGGCTCACTATGTCACCCTCAGTAGAGTGCTGTTGCATCACAGCTCACAGCAACCTCAAATTCTTGGGCTTAAGCAATTTCTTGCCTCAGCCTCCCAAGTAGCTGGGACCACAGGCGCCATCCACAACGCCCAGCTATTTTTTGTTACAGTTGTCATTGTTGTTTAGCAGGCCCAGGTGTATGTGGTTGGTGCTGTAACCACTGTGCTACAGGCACCAAGCCTTAATACAGTTATTCTGGTGTGGATACTTCATTTTACTTCCTATTTTAGGGGATTTTTTTTAGGGGTAACTTGCTTTTAAAGTAGTTTTCCTTACTACTATATGTGTTGTTTCTGCTCTAGTTTCATCCTAACAGTGTTGTTTTCTTTCGACTGATTATACATTCTTAAATCACCTTGTCTACAAGAAAAATAGAATCTTCAGTGTAACTCTCCCTTTTATGATTTCAATGTGACCTCTGAAATTAAATTACTTGAATTAAAAATTCAAGTACTTTAAATCAAAAGATTACATAGAGCTAATTTTTTTTAACAAAATGGTCATCCAGACAAACTTCAGAGAAGTTCTGAAATTCTGATTCTACTTTATTTTTAGCACTGTCATAAGACCCAGACATACTCCCCTTTAAGCCTCCCACCAAGCCAAAAGATTAGTTCAATTTAAGACCATACTCTCATTTGTTATTTTCTTCTGCTTGCTTAACTTTAATAGAGAAAAGGGATATAGCAGTTCTAACTAGGAGCTAATATAGCACGGAGGCGTTCTTAAATCAGGTGTTTCAATATGTCTTAAATTTATGTGTAATATGCCCTCAAATCTAATTGCAAACATACTTCAAAGCCAAAGATAAATCTTTTAAAAAATTTACTTCTTTCCTAATTGTGATCTATGATTTTTCCCTTTTTTAGAAAAGTATTAACATAATAATGTATTCTGCCCCTTTTTTTGGCTGTGGTGGGGAGTGTGTGTGGGGGGGGGACACAGAATGCTATTGCATCATCATAGCTCACAGCAACCTCAAGCTCTTGGGCTTAGGAGATCCTCCCGCTTCAGCCTCCCAAGTAGCTGGGACTATAAGCATGCACCAGGACACCCAGCTGTTTTTTTCTGTTTTTAGCAGAGATGGGGTCTCTCTCTTGCTCAGGCTGGTCTTGATTCCTGAACTCAAGCAGTCCACCCACCTTGGCTTCCCAGAGTGCTAAGATTACAGGGTTGAGCCACTGGGCATGGCCCTTGCTATTCTTTTTAAATTAAATGTTCTGCAAGTCTTATTAATGTGATTTAAGTTTTATTCATAAACAGTTTGCTGTGAGTAGATTAATAAAATGTGGTATATGTATACCATGGGCTATTAGCCATAAAATAAAAGAATAC